CAGCACTTATTAAATGTTGCTCGTGCCTTGTATTTTCAGTCCAGGATTCCCATCTGTTACTGGTCTGAATGTGTGTTGACTGCTGCCTACCTAATTAACAGGACTCCTTCTCCTATTTTGAAACACAGAACTCCCTATGAAATCTTGTTCAGCAAGCCTGCTGATTATTCTTGCCTTCGAGTTTTTGGATGCTTAAGTTTTGCCTCTACCTTTACTGCACATAGAAATAAATTCCAACCTCGTGCACGATTATGTGTATTCCTAGGATATCCCTCAGGCATCAAGGGTTTTAAGTTACTTGATGTCGCTTCTAAACAGATTTTTACATCCAGAGATGTTATTTTCCACGAAGAAACCTTTCCTTTCCACACTATAGTGCAGTCTGATCAATTGCTTGACCCTTTTCCTGATTTAGTACTGCCCTTTCCCAACCTATCCACACCTCTTGATTCTCCTGTTAGGCCTACTCACCATCATCAGACATACCCTATTCCAAATCCTATCTCCCCTTCATCCTCTGATGGATTGGATCATTCCTTTGATACCCATGTGCCTGAATTACCAACTGATGTAACTTCTGTCAGTCCATTAATCAATGATGTTCGCAAGTCCACAAGATCATCTAGACCGCCCAAATACCTTCATGATTACCACTGTAATCTGATGTCTCATATCCATCCAATTTTCCCTCTTCCTTCATACCACGTAGGCAATTTTATTTCTTATAACAATCTTTCTACTCCTCATAAACAGTTTGCCTTATCGATCTCCTCACATTTTGAACCTCAGTTCTTCCATCAGGCTGTTAAGATTCCTCATTGGTGTGATGCCATGAGACTTGAACTAAAGGCCATGGAGGATAATCACACATGGACTGTTGTGAAGTTGCCACCTGGGAAACATGCTGTAGGCTGCAGATGGCTCTATAAGAATAAGTTTAAATCTGATGGGTCTCTTGAACGACACAAAGCACGCCTTGTCGCCAAAGGGTATACCCAGCAGGCGGGGCTCGACTATTTTGATACATTTTCACCAGTAGCCAAGGCAGTCACTGTCAAAATCTTACTCACTCTTGCAGCTCGTTTTGGCTGGCATTTGATACAATTGGATGTTAATAACGCGTTTTTAAATGGGGACCTGTTTGAGGAGGTTTATATGGAGTTACCACTTGGTTATGACTTGCTCAGGCCTGCTAAACAGGGGGAGAATTTGGTTTGCAAACTGCATAAGTCATTGTATGGCCTTAAGCAGGCTTCCAGGCAGTGGAATTCTAAATTCACCCAGTCTCTTATTCAGCATGGTTTCACTCAATCGAGGTCAGATTATTCGTTTTTCTCGAAAGGCTCTGGACAACACTTTGTGGCTTTGTTAGTTTATGTCGATGATATTGTGATTACTGGTCCAAACATTGAGGCAATCAATTCTTTAAAGTCCTTCTTACAGTCTCAATTCAAACTCAAGGATCTGGGGTCTTTGAAATATTTCTTGGGGATCGAGGTAGCCCGGTCTACTTCTGGTATTGTTATTTCACAACGCCATTATACTTTGCAATTGCTTGAGGATGCTAATTACTTGGATTGTAAACCTGTTACCAGTCCAATGGATCCTAAAATCACTCTCAGTCGTCTTGAGGGTGACATTCTTCCTGATGTTTCACACTACAGGAGATTAATTGGGAAACTTTTATACTTAACCTTATCACGGCCTGACATCACATTTGTTGTACATAAGCTCAGCCAGTTTGTTTCCCAACCCAGATTGCCACACCTGAAGGCAGTTCATCATCTGCTCAGATACTTGAAGGGCCATCCTGGACAGGGTCTTTTCTTCCCTTCACATCTGGGGTCTGATAGTTCCATCACCATTAGAGCCTTCTCTGACGCTGATTGGGGCTCCTGTGTTGACACTCGGAGATCCACCACTGGATTTTGTATTTTCCTTGGAGATTCGTTGGTTTCGTGGAGGTCCAAGAAACAACCAACCATATCACGCTCCTCTGCTGAGGCAGAGTATAGGGCACTTGCCTCTGCTGTCAGTGAGATTCTTTGGATATTGCAGTTGCTGAAAGATTTTCATGTCACCATTTCTTCTCCTGCTACACTTTATTGTGATAACCAGGCTGCTGTTCAGATTGCCACTAATCCCGTTTTCCACGAACGAACGAAGCATATCGAAGTTGATTGCCATTTCGTCCGTGACAAGATCACTGCTGGCATCGTCAAGCTCCTTCCTGTGCGTTCCAAGTATCAGCTGGCAGACATTTTCACCAAACCGTTACCTTCTTCAGCCTTGGTTCCATTCCTGTCCAAGCTGTGCGTTAAAGACATCTACGCACGGCTTGAGGGGGAGTATTAGAAACACGCTTATGCTTTCCTTACTAGTTTAACACTTCTTCTCTAATTACCGTTTTACCCTCTTGTTGTAATTAGTTTAGTTGTTTGTTATTTAGTTAGTTTTACAACTGGAGTTTAGTTAGAGGAACTGAACTCTTCTTCCCGCTTCTTCCCTGACCTTTGCCTATATAATCAAAGGTTGATGTACCAGTTTAGATATGAGAAAATAAGGAGAAATATTTTCTACATCAAGACTTCTCTTAATTTCAATAAAGATAGGGTGTGCGAGTTTTCTCTTATAAACTTCTTTTTACCATAGTAAATTACTGTAGAGACGGACGATGAAGTAGTCTCATATCGAGACAAACCTTTATAAATTTTACATTTTGTTGTATATATATTTCTTTAATATGACTTTCTTGTAGAATTTCTAATTCTTTGCATTCAATTCCATGTGAGGATTGCAAGCTCATCAACCAAGTGATTGATATCAAGTTTTCAACACCTAACCTTTATTTATTGGCAATGGCAGCTAAAATTTCGCACGCACTACTAACTACATAATTTTGGGGATATAAAATTTCTCTACAAT